CAAGTTCACCAATGTGCTATTTTCCTCTTATGAGATCTGTCTGTTCAAGAGCTCCCACATCTTGTTAGTGAGGTCTCTCTGGTTATCAAGAGACCCTTTCACACAGGTAGGCCAGAGGGGTGGACTGGGGGGAGGGACATTGAGAAAGTCCGGGGAGAGAGGTAGCCTAAAGTCTCCCGAGAAAGAAGGAAAAGCAGAGGAATACTAAATGGAAATGTTTGCGTGAAAAACTGTAAAAACAAAAAAAACCCAAAAAACCTGTGCCCACTGAGAACACATCTATATAAAATGTGGGCACACACAGGGGACGGAGGTGAGGAGCATGCAGGGATGAAGACTAGAGTTGTTCTGGGTGGGACTATGGCTCTGGGATTTGGGCATTCTTTCATATTTTTTAACAAATGTCTTACATTGATTTTTGAATAAGATGAACAAAAAATACAAAGAATAGAGTTAGAGAGTAGAAAAATAAAAGCAATGTCAGAAAATGAAGTATGCGTCTGAGGGCAATATGATCAGTGCCTCTTGTCCTTAAAGCGCTTGGGGCTGCAGGCGAGGTCAAGTTCCTTCCCACCAGTGAGGAGGCCCCAGGTCACTTCTCCTGCAGCTCCTGCTCACCCCTGGGCCTTTAGGTGGGGCTGGGACCCCCACTGAGCACTCCCCCAGCCTCTGCAGGCCAATCTGCACATTTTCTTCTGCTCTCAGAGGAGACATCAGTTCCCCTGGAAGCCTCCCCTGCTCTCTGTGGCAGAATCAATGCCTGGTCTCATCCTGCCGAGACATCCTGTGAGTTCGCTACCCCAGGGTTTGCCACTGAAATGGCCTGTGCTGGCTGCTTCAACAGCGATTCCTTGATGAGAGGTCTGAACGTTTCAGGGAGCAGACAGAACAACTGAATTGTGCCTGCCACGGGAGGAGGGACTGGCCTGGGAGGCAGGAGAGGCAGCATGGGCCGGACAGCGGACCTGAGATGACGCCGCTTCGGTTTTCCCCTTCTCCTCCCCAGTGTGCACCACCAATCCAACCTGTAAAAACCGATTTCTCAAGTGCCTGTTATCACCAAGACACTGCCCCAAGGAATTGCAAAACTGAGGCCATTCCTTGAGTGTCTAACCTAGTTGGGGAGTCAGTACTCCAACACGAGGAATGCCAGATAACCATGCAGGAATGAAGTGTGAGATAACAGAACAAGACTGTCAAAGATTAATTGAGTGTGGGCACTGCAAGGTGTGAGTTCGGGGCAGCAGGGTCACTGTGGCTGCAAAGGGAAGTGCTCTGAGCGTCCAATTTGAAGGATGCCCACAGGATAGGAAGAGGGAAGGGGAGAAATGGCATCCAGTGATCAAGGCCTGGAGCAGGAAATGGGTATTACATGCTCAGTGGCTAGCAAGGGGCCCTTTGAGGCTAGAACAGAAGGAAAAAAAAAACAAAACTAGTTCTGGAAGGATGTGTTAGGGCCAGAATTTTGAAGACCTTAAGGCCAGACAGAAGAGTCTGTTCTGGAAACAAGAGGAGTGAGAGGGCATAAAGCAGTGTAGCTGACCAGAGTCATTTGTGGGGAGATTAGTTTGTGGGCAGTTCTTGGGACAGACTAGAGAAAGAACCAGTTAGGAAACTTCTCTGAAAGTTAAAGCAGGGAGAGAGGCATGTGGGACCAGAGCTGCCACGTCCTACCTACAAGCGTGGCGGTCATCACCAATGCATCAGAGCACACTTTCCTGCAGGGCCCAGATGGGACCTCAGGATGCCTTCCCAGCTGGGGCTCCAGGCAGCCCCTATCAGCCCATCCAGGGTGACAGTTCAAACCTGCCTTCCTTGCAGTCAGTGAGTGAGGGTGGTGATGTTCTGCCGCACCAACATGTATCTTCCAGTCTCAGTGGCTTAAAGCAGCGAAGATTAATCGTTCCCTCAGGCCACCTGTTCATCACGGGCCAGCCAGAGATTGTGCTCAGTGTTAGCACCATACAGACCACAGCACTGCCAGACAGCCAGTGGGGCAGAAGAGAAAGACAGACCTCCTGAGAGTCTTCTACTAGCATCCCAACACAAAGGACAAAAATAACACGCCACTTCTGCTCACTTTTCCTTGGCCAGAACTGGTCAATTCTACTCTCCAGAAGGCGAAAATAAACGGCCACCTTCAGAAATGCTCTGCGGGAAGCATCGCACTGCTGTACTTTTTGTGTGGCAGTTGGGCTCTCTTACAAAAAGCATCACTGAGTTTCAGCTGAAATATCTACTGATGCCAGGGATTTATGGACCGGTGCCTTCTGGTGGGCACCGTGCTACGACCAGGAGCTGTCCGATGGATGAAAGCCCAGCTTCATCCACACTTAGGAACTCTTGGCGGTTCAAAGCCATTGGCCTTGTCTCAGAACGTCTGAATATATTCCCCTGGTAATTGACCCTCTGTGCGACCTGTTTCTTCATTTTTAAAAATGGAACAGCAGCTACACGTATTCAAGTGTCTTCTAAGACTTTGTGTTTTTAACTCATTGAGCACTTATATACATTATATTTATTCTTGTGTAAAACAAGAGCTTAAGGCACCAATAAATAAATAAAATGAGTTACTAAGCAAGCGCACGCACGCTAATAAATATGCGAACCAGGATTCACAAGGGCGATCTGACGGAGGCCTGTGTTGGAAACCATTAAGCGAATAGTTTATAAAGGTATGGTCTGTCAGGAGATTCCTAGGAAGCAGAGGATAAGTGGTTTCCAGCCACCTGGCAAAAAGTAGGCTCAAATATATACTATAAGGTTCTGTAAATATTGTATTTTTATTTTTGGTTAGCCGAAACAAGGCTACTCAGCTTCCACGTGGCTGAGGACAGGAGACAGTCAGTGTCTTGGAAGTACAATGCTCGACAGGTTCCTCCACCTGGTCCTCGCGGCACGTTGCCTTGGAACGAGTTGAAGGGCAGGGAACTTGGCGCTCTGCCCTTTTGACTCTTTCATTGACCTTTACCAGGGAGCTCAGACCTCAGGGAGCGCTGGCCTGATTTCTGCTGCAGAAGGCTATTTCCAAAATGAGTGGACAGATGTAATTCTCAAGGCAATGGGATGTATGACGTTGACTCACGCTCTGAAATTCTGCTGCAAATGCGTTATCAAAACGGCTTTAGGGTAGGTCCCTTGATAAGAATAGGGAATGCACGTAAAAGATTGGCAGTAATAGAATTTGATGTGGAGACATGCTGTGGCTGCGGGTTAACCAAACAGCCACCTGTTCTTTTTCTTTATAAATATTCCCGTCTTTTTAGGTGCAAGGCAACAGCACAGCGCTCAAAGAAGTCAGGCAGAGAAGTGGCCGCTGGTCAACTGTAATTGGCATTTCGTTCTCTCTCAGGATGGCTGGGGGCTGCCTATCTGCCAGTAGGACCTTTTTTCATAGACTGAACTCTGTTTCGCTTTTTAATAGAGATGGTATGCAGTAAGAGGGCCCCTTTTCCTTTCCTGAGCTTTCTTCCTGCTCAAATTGCTGTTGATGCAAATGATGTCTGCAGGAAAAAGCCCGTCACAGAGAGGCTGATCCCCGCCATGGGCTGGGTCGTCAATGCATCCTTCTGAGTATGTGCTGAACAGTGCCATGAGAGGATAAGAGAACAGAAGAAACCCTGAGCATCTCGGTGGAATTGTAATTGGTACATCATTCTGGAAACAATCTGGCAGTACTGTGAAATAATATGGTAGTGCACTATGACTCATTCATATCAGGGCTTGGGTCCACACACAAAGACTCTTCCACAGTCTCACAGCCAGGTGTGGAGGTTATCACAGAGCCAGGCTGAAGTTGCCTAGTGGTCCCAAGGCAGGCACAGGGGACTTAAATCGGCAGGACCTACGACAGAGGACAGGCAGGTGGCCAGGGTAACAGAGCACCAAAGGACTATTATCTAAAAAGATAGGTTGAGTAAGAAGAAAACCAGATTGGATCTGTGGCAGAATCCCACTATCAATTAAAAACAATACCCATCAGGACAGGACAGGGTCGATAACTACAGCCGTAGCAAGCACGTGGAGTGGTGCCTTACGAAAAGGGACGGGGATGGAGGGAGCGAGGGTAGCAAAGGAACGAGGTGGCAGGGGGCTGCAGAGCAAATGGTAATGGCCTAGGAAAGAGGGGATTTTAATAAAAGTCGAAGGAAACACAACCCAGATTTGGGGTCAGAAACCATGTGTAATGTTCCATGTTCTTATTGGCTGTGCTCTTTAAGTAACGATCGCTCAGTTTCCCCGTGAAGCACGCTCGAAGAGCAGCCTGCAGAGTGTTTGGTGAGTCCAAGAGATCATGGAGGGAATGATTCTGAGTGTGGAACCAGGAGGGGCTCCTGGAGCAACCCACGAGCCTTAAGGACTGGGCTTTCTCCTCTGCTAGAATGGGTTATTGCGTCACTACACAGCACATATCGTGGTGAGTGTTAATGAACGTGACATGCAGAGACACAAGGCAGGGTCGTGACACTGGGAAGCAAGCCCTCCGCACCCTGTGCGTGACAGTGATGCCTGTGCACGTGCTGGCAGGGAGAGGCGTTCAGGCTGCTTTGGCAACACAGTCCGGGGCACATGGGCCCTAACACATCCAAGATTATTTCTTTTCTTGTGTGCAAATGATTAATCTTTACAGAGTAATGGGTTGCAAAAACGGGAGAGATGAGAGGCAGAAGAGAGAAAAAAGAATCATACTTCCTATTGCCCTAATGTAAACTTCATTTTCTAATGAAGGCTGGGTCTCCTACGATTTTCCATGACTCCAGAAGGATGCTATGTTCGTCTGTAACTGTCATATCCAGTGTCACGCGTCTTCTTAAGGTGCTACATCTTGCTCCTCGATAACCCTACAGAGTTGGGGAAAATTGATGAGCCAAATGACCTATTCACCCGGGGGTCCATTTCGTTTCTATAAAAAAATAACAAATTTTTCATTAAATTAGAAAGGATCATTTTGTTTTCAAAGTTTTTATTCTATTTTCATATTAAAACACCATGGCCCCAAGGGAAAAAAAAATATTTTTTCTAGTGTGGTAATGTGTTCATTTTTAAAGAGAAAATAGCAATAGGATTGTAATGATTCCTCTCTATCTATTCAGGCACTATTTGAGCATCTATTATGAAAGAGGGTGAAAAATCTAGCCCTGCTCACAAGCATTATGTTCTAATGCAAGGGGAGGAGAGGTTTACCTCTTGGTGAGCATAATGAGGCATGCCACTAGTACACAGATAAAAGAAGAAAACATAGTAGAGTAGGAAAATAAGTAAAGGAATCACCATATTTCACAGGAGATCCAAAACAGAGTTCCCAGTCAATTCTGCCAAGGCCTGCCATGTTGAGACAAAATGATTATGACAATAAACTATTGCAATGGACAAAACTTTTGTAATTTTAAAGGAATATCCATTGTGTTTGACTTCAGTGGAAGTTCACAAATGAATACAATAGTGCAAAGGATAGTTTGTAGTTTACAAACATTTAAACCCCCCTCACACACAGAGAGATATGGTTTTCTTGCTTTTTAAAGGCACTGATTCTTATGCTGCTTTTATCAGTACATATGGTTCACTCTACTAGGCTAGAAATGGCCTCTGCCAAAAACTGCTGTTTTGATTTGGGTTTCTAAAAATAACTCATGGGAAGCCTGCAGTGTGAGGAGAAGATGGTCGCACAGAGCTCCAGGGAGGAAAAGCTGAAGCATTCGATTTGAATTACCTAAGAGCCGAAATGGAGTACGAATATCTCCTTGTAGCAACTGCTGTATAATTAGCCACCCTAATGGAATCTTTTCAAAACCAACGCAGTTCTACAAGTAAGTTTAATTGAAAATAAAATTTCCAGACCGACTATTCTGTCAAAACCACATTAAATGAAGATGGCTCAGCAGTGGCCAAATCACTGGTGAAATGTATTATGTATTTATTACGCAGTAAGGGAGAAAGGGGACAAGAGGGGGAGGGGGATGTGCTCTCCCATATGGGGGAAATGTGGCAATTTCCAGGGCTCCTTTTTCCAGTTTCATGTGTCTTCTATCCTCTCGGAGAAAGTATTCAATTCTCCCTGCGTCGGTGCTACTGCTGGGGCTATCTCCGGAGTCCAGAGCATCATAGTCTCCTGAAAAGAAGAAGCTGGGATTAAAATCTCAGAGCTAAAGCAGGGAAGAGAAGAGAAAATGACACTTGCTTTCCAATCTGCTCATTGCCAGCACGGGGGCACGTTTTATTCTAGGAAGACCACATTCATCCATCAGCTCACGGAGAGGCTACGGTGATCTGGAACTGCCTTCTGAACTTGGACTTTCATTGGTGCTACTTGTCAACTGTGCTGGGTTATTTAACATTTCTGAGTAGCAGTTTTCTCATCTTAAAAGAAAAAGTAAAAGGACTGTCATTCCCACACCTCCCACGCAGTCAGGAAGATTGAATGTGTGCGTGACCAGCCTGGTGCTCTAGACAGGTGGTGCACGCAGGGCGAGGAGGGGAGGGGCGGACGACCAGATCCTTCCTTGTCTCCGTGCATAGACCTGCAGAGTCAGCATCACCTGGAAGCCCATGACTAGTGCAGAAGCTCAGCATCACACAGAAAAATTGACCAAGAATCTACATTCAATAAATGCTTTTGGAGACTTGTAGTATGTGAGGCTCAAATTTGAGCCTCGCTGGCCTGGGCCATTTCTCAGGTGTGTGACTCTACATTGGGTGACTCATGTTAAGAGAAAGTGAGAAGGAAGGACAGAAGGGAGGGAGGGAGGAGAAGCCCATTTGAATTAAAATATCAAAACTATTTGAAAAAGATTATTGAGTCACTTGTTATGCAGGGTTAAGAGGAAACCTAGGCCTTGAGCCCATCTTTTTGCTTAAAGCCACTTAGCTTGCAATCCTTCATTCAGACTGAGCATACATGGTCCCTCCTACCCAACACCCGGCCCTTGTCTGAAAATGCTCAGATGGACAAATGGTCTCCTGTGACAGAGAGCTACCCTGTTTACTTCCCCCAAAGCCAGTAGACACTGTAGTTAACCGACCTTCTGAAAACCCCAGTGGTGCCTACCTCCAGACCATTTAGCTCACTTAAGAAAGGAAACATCTCTTCCAGAAGACTCTGAAACCCTAATTTCCTGAGCCTTCCAATGACCAAAATGGAGTTGGAGAAAATGACTCTTATACTTATGAAACCCAATTCTCAAATAAGAAGCACTGACTATGCTCAGCGTATAAAGCATTTTACAATCCTTACTGGTAAGATATATAATAAAAACCTGATTTTAAAGACGACGAAGGAGGTGGAGGCTCAGCAAGGCTTAGTGGTGGCATCAAGAACTGAGCACTGTGCCTTTTCTGCCACGTGTGCACCCCATCTGCCCAGCTTCGGATCCCAGTGTCCCCAGCCACCTTCCAGAAATGCTCTGGGAAGCATCGCACTGTGTCTTTGTGGTTGGCAGTTGGAGACTCTTTCTTTACAAAAAGCATCACTGAGTCTTCAGCTGAAAACTAGTCTACTGATGCAGGGAGTGATGACGGTGCCTTCTTGGGCCACCGTAGCTACGACCAGGGAGGCTTGGCTGGATGGATGAGAGCCCAGCTTCATTCACACTTAGAAACTCTTGGGTTCAAGCCATGGCCTTGCTTCTCAGAACTGTCTGATATATTTGGTAAATTGACCCCTCTGTGCGACCTGGTTTCTTCATTTTTAAAAATGGCAACAGCAGCTAACACGTATCAAGTGTCATTCTAAGCACTTGATATTTGTTAACTCATTGGGCACTTATAATACACTATTATTATTCTTGGTGTAAAAACAAGAAGCTAAGGCACAATAAAACAAAATAAAATGAAGTTACTTAGCCAAGGCCACGCAGCTAATAAATATCAGAACCAGGATTCCACAGGCGATCTGACTGGAGCCTGTGTTGGAACCATAAAGCAGAAATGGTTTATAAAGCAGATGGCTGTCAGGAGATTCCTAGGAAGCAGAGGGATAAAGTGTTTCCCAGGCCACCTGGCAAAAAGTAAGTGCTCAAAAAATTATAACTATAAGGTGTCATGTAAAAATTATTATTATTTTTTGGTTAGCCAGAAACACACAGGCTACTACAGCTTCCACGTGGCTAAGGACAGGGGACAGTCAGTGTCTGTGGAAGTACAATTGCTCGACAGGTGTCCATCCCACCTGTCCTCAGCGGGCACGTTGCCTTGGAACGATGGCACAGGGCAGGAACTTTGGCGCTCTGCCCTTTGACTCTTTCAATTGACCTTTCTACCAGGGAGTCAGCTCAGAAACCTCAGGGAAGGCAGCTGGGCCTGATTTCTGCCTTGCAAGAAGGGCTATTTCCAAAATGAGCTGGACAGATGTAATTCTCAAGGCAATGGGCATGTATGAGTTGACTCACTGCTTCTGAAATTCTCTGCAAATGGTTAATCAAACGGCTTTAGGGGTAGGTCCCTTGTATAGAATAGGCAGAATGCACGTAAAAGATGGGCAGAATCAGAATTCTGATGTGGAAGGCTCTGTTGGCTGCGGGTTAACCAAACAGCCACTGTCTCTTCTTCTTTATTAAAATATTCCCAGTTCTTTTTAGGTGCAAGGCAAACAGCAATGCGCTCAAAAGAAGTCCATGGCCGGAGAAGAATTGGCCCTGGTCCAAAACAGCAATGGCCATTTCGTTCTCTCTCTCAGGCACTGGCTGGGAGGACACCTTGCCTAGTCTGGCCAGTGAGACATAAGGAGAAGACTCCTGGGGATTTCTGGGGAAAACTTTTTTCCTTAATAGGAGATGGTTGCAGTAAAGAGGCCCCCTTTTTCCTTCCTGATGCTTCTTCCTGCTCAAAATGCTGTTATGACAAAGTGATGTCTGCAGAAAAAAAGCCCGTCACAGAGACGCTGATCCCCGCCATGGCTGGGCTGTCAAATGCATCCTTTCTGATGTATGTGCTAATACCAGGTGCTGGAGAGGATGAAGAGAAACAGAAACTCCTGAGCATCTCTGGTGGAAGTGTAAATTGGTACAGTCATTCTGGAAAACAATCTGGCAGTACTTGTGAAATTAATATGAGTGTGCACTATGACTCATTCATATCAGGGCTGGGTCCACACCAAAGAAACTCTCCCACAGTCCCACAGCACAGGTGTGAGGGCTTCATCACAGAGCCAGGCTGAAGTTGCCTAGTGTCCCCCAGCAGGGCACAGGGGACTTAAACAGGGCAGGACCTACGACAGAGGACAGGCAGGTGAGCCAGGTGTACACAGAGCACCAAGACTATATCTAAAAAAAGATAGTGTTGAGTAAGAAGAAAAACCAGATTGAGATCTGTGGCAGAATCCCACTTATCTAAATTAAAAACAGATACCCAATCAGGACAGGACAGGAGTTGATACAACATACAGGGCACGTAGCAAGCACAGTGGAGTGGTGCCTACGAAAAGGGCGGGGATGGGAGGGAGGAGGGTAGCAAAGGAAGCGAGGTGGGCAGGGGGCTGCAGAGAACAATGGTAATGTGCCTAGAACAGAGGGGGCATTTATAATAAAAGTCGAAAGAGAAAACACAACCAGATTTGGAGTCAGAAAACCCAGGTGTGAATGTTCCCATGATTCTTATTGGCTGTGGCTCTTTGGAAAGTTAACAGAGCCTCAGTTTCCCCATCGTGAAAAGCAGCTACGAAGAGCAGCCCTGCAGAGCTGTTGTGTGAGCATCCAAGGAGATCATGAGCGAAGATTCTGAGTGTGGAACACAGGAGGGGCTTCCTGGATGGCAACTGCCACGAGCCTTAAGGACTGGGCTTTCTCCTCTGTAGAATGGGGATTATTGCGTCACCTACCCAGCACAATCGTGGTGAGGTTTAAATGAGACGTGACCCATGCAGGACACAAAGCAGGGTCGTGACACCTGGAAGCAAAGCCCTCCCGCACCCCTGTGCGTGACAGTGATGCCCTGTGCACATGCCTGGCAGGGCAGAGGCGGTTCAGGCTGTCTTTTGGCAACACCAGTCCCGGGGCACATGGGCCCTACACATCCACAGATATATTTCCTTTTCTTGTGTGGCAATGATTAATCTTTCACTGAGTAAGGTGGGTTGCAAAAACGGGAAGAGATGAGAAGGCAGAAGAGAAAAGAAGAAACTGTCATACTCCTATTGCCCTAAATAGGTAAAACTTTCATTTTTCTAATGAAGAGCTGGTCTCCCTACAGATTTTCCATGACTCCAGGAAGGATGCTATGTCTTCTGTAACTGTCATATCACAAATTGTCACCGCTCTTCTTAAGGTGCTACATCTTCTGCTAGATAACCCTACAGATGACTGGGGGAAAAATCTGTGGCCCAGAATGACCACATATCCCTGGGGTCCATTTCGTTTCTAATTTCACCCCTAAATGCATCCAGACACAAGAAACCCCCTCACACACAAAGGCTTCTTTTTTTCTGGAGTATGTCTTCTAAATAAATTCCCCCAATAGGGATACAAGGTCAATGTGAGGCTCCCGTACCTCCTGACAAACTGTTGCTCCGACAGACCAATTTACACTGCCAGTGGCAATGGAGGCATATGTCAGGCTCCGACACATTTTTAGAATAGACTCCAAAATCTATTATTCTAATTTTTGGCAACATGATGGGAGAAAGACACTGCAGTTGCCCCATTCTGGCGAGAAGCAGTTGCTTCTGGCGAGAAGCACTGTGAGTCCAGGATTCCAAGTTCACCAATGTGCTATTTTCCTCTTATGAGATCTGTCTGTTCAAGAGCTCCCACATCTTGTTAGTGAGGTCTCTCTGGTTATCAAGAGACCCTTTCACACAGGTAGGCCAGAGGGGTGGACTGGGGGGAGGGACATTGAGAAAGTCCGGGGAGAGAGGTAGCCTAAAGCCTCCCGAGAAAGAAGGAAAAGCAGAGGAATACTAAATGGAAATGTTTGCGTGAAAAATTGTAAAAAAAAAACAAAAAACAAAAACAAAAAACAAAAAAAACCCAAAAAACCTGTGCCCACTGAGAACACATCTATATAAAATGTGGGCACACACAGGGGACGGAGGTGAGGAGCATGCAGGGATGAAGACTAGAGTTGTTCTGGGTGGGACTATGGCTCTGGGATTTGGGCATTCTTTCATATTTTTTAACA